ATGAGGAGTAACTAAAAGATGTAACCATAAAACTACCACCAATGCCTACAGGTCATATGGTGATTTCTCACAGTCAAGCTTACACAACTCTGACAATCAATGGAAGTCAGCTACCCAGAGCCCGAGTCAGAAAAGGAAATGAGGCATCAAATACAAAGGGGTGAAATGAATTCCTCTGTCCATTAAGTTCTTCTAAATGAAAAACACCCAACTGTTCACAGATCAGACCAAAGTAGTAACCCAGGAAAACAGTGTTCTTACTCTTCCCTTCTACATTCCCTCTGTACAAGTCTCTTGTCCCTGCCTAACCTCCTCCTCTTCATGAAATCCACCAGTCTGTGCTTTTTGAGAAAAGGACCTATGTCTATAATCTTTTCACTGTTAAAACAGTCAACATATTTTAGCTTCACCTATGCTAAAGAGTTTCAAACTTTTTTTATCCCAATCTACAGTAAGAACTACAAGAAAACACGAGTTGTATGTAACAATACTTTTTCTGCACATGATGTACTTGACATTTTCTATTCTACTCTATTTAATTTTTTAAATGCTGATTGGACTTTCAAACTAATCAAAACCAAAAGGATGAAAAACAATGAGCTATGTATGTTATACAAGGTACCATCAATAGTACACCAAAGAGAAAAGGTTTTAGAAGAATGTTTTGACTGCCATAGGATAGTACAATAACGTATTAATTTGTACCAAATTCACTTATTCTACCATAAAATAACCTGGGATTACTATGTAATATGAATCAAATTCTAGGAAGCATGGGACATTTCATAAAGTTTGCAACATATTATGCTATCTGTTTTTAGACTGCTATGGTGAAGTATGCCCTACATTTACATGTAAAACAAACAAACTGCCAAACTTCTCAGTGTTAACCCTGACCTCCTCATTTTCGCTCACAGAGCAACAGATTCTTAAGAAGAACATTATGTTAAACCAAATCACTGTACTTATTCACTTTTTCTTAAAAGAGAATATTAGGTGGCTAGTATAAAGGAAATACAGTATAAAGTTCCCAACCTACATTTCTGATGATATTTATAAAGATCCTAATGGGGAATTCAAATAAAAACCTTCAAAAAAATTTTTTTATCCTGACCAGAGGACATGCTCATTGATCTTAGAGAGAGGGGAAGGGAGGGACAGAGGGAGGGAGGGAGAGAGATGCACCAATGTGAGAGAGAAACAGTGATCCTTTGCCTCACACGCAACCCACCCCAATAAGGACCAAACCTCCAAACCAGTCGTGCGCCCTGACTGGGAGGAAAAAACCCGTGACCCTTCAGTTTAGAGGGACAACACTCCAACCAAATGAGCTACACCGGCCAGGGCAATAAAAACAATCTTAATCATCTGTATTAATTGAACATGTTGACCATTGGGCACGATTTAAGTTCTCAGGAAAAGCTAATAAGGAACAGCAGAAGACCAAAGTGCCCTAGAAAAAGACAGAGCCTTCTAATCAAGCGAACACATCATCTCACTTAATCAACCCACACAAGGAAAAAGTGTGAATAATCTTTAAAAGTATGCTAATGAAAGGAAAAGTTTAAACCACAGTACCTAGTGATGTACTCTAGTAACAGGTTTATTAATTGTTCAGACTAGTGTATGTGTTGGTGTATACACTGAATAAGGTATAAAATTACTGTTATTTAGGGTTAATTTAAATGAAATGTTACAAAGTCCAAGATTCAGGAAGCACCAAAACCAGCTACACACACAGAGATAAGCAGAATGCTTCATTTGTTTTCAGTAATACTACTTTAACATCTATGTTTTAAGTAAATTGGTAGAGAGTTACTTAAAATCCCAACTTCCCATTTCAAAGTAGAGGGCAGCCAAGTCAATGAATAATGTACTCATTTAGTTATTACTAGCAAAATATTTTATAATGTAAAAATTATTTTTACTTCTACAACTGTATTGTAACATTTTAGTGCTATACTGTGGACATCAAAACTCTAATTTTATGAACATACAAACCATAATCATTTCAACAACTTAAAAACAGAGAAGACAGAACATAGCTCTACTCTTACTAGATATAACTGGAAAACACACTGTTAAATTTAAAAGTGACCTATGGCCATAAGGAAGCCTGACCCCTGTGCTCTGTCGCTCACTGGCTTAATCCTCTCTTCCTCTCCAGAGCTCCGTCATTTGCTCCCTCACGCCATCAGCACCAGGAGCAAGGAACGCTACCAAATACATATGCCTCACTCTGAATCGTCAGTTTTCTTATTATCATTACACTGTATGAACAAAACACTAACTGTAACGATGTAAAAGTGAAATGGACCATAATTAGAAATAAAGTGAAATTGATGGAAATGAGGCAAAGCAGACAGAACCTTGGCTGACTCCTCCTTTAAAAGAAGCCTATCATCAGCATAAAAACAAGGAATATCTAGATGACACTTTCACTAACATAAGGATCAAACAGAAATATACAGCATACATCACAGAGTATTTGACTACTACTGCTCTCCTGTTGCAAATATTGGGTTTTTCAAAACTCAAACTAAGAACTATATCGCATTACGGCAAATCTAAATGATCAAATTTAATCCCTGTATATTTTCATTTCACACCAAAAATAATAATAATGTTTCAAAAATTAAATTGAGGGCCATTCATTATATGGAAACTTCCTTAACCTAATTTTTTCTATAATGTGAGGTGGCAAGAAAAAAATAGGACATTTCCCCAAAATGTAGTAATGCAGACATATGTGGAGCACAGCTGATCTACTGCAATACTTAAATGAACCGAAGAGACTGGCACTCTTCAAAAACCTAAATTCTCAAATAACTTAGACAGTGGAAGTACTACAACTCACGGCACGTCTCTCAACAGCTTCTCTCTCCCATTCTTACATTTCTTTCCTTTCTCCTTATCCAAACTTCTGTGGTTAAGAACTCCCACTTTCAAAATCTCATACTCCCAACTGAAAAATGCCTGAGACGTAGCACACTGCCGACCCCCAAAGTGTGCACAGTAATTCCTTTAAAATGCCAGTCTCTTGTTCTCTACCAGTGAGAAAACAATAGTTTACTTAAAAGAGTGTGCATTTTTGTTATGTCTTAGCAGACTTTTGGAAAGATAAAATGTGGAAGCATACTACTGAAACCTAATTTGTTTTAAATTATAAAAAGTCCCTGATTTGAAATTACTTAAAGTATAGTAATAAAAAATAAAGTGCATTTGGCCAAATACTTATTTGACTTTTGGCTTATTCGGCTTAAATTAACTATGTATAAACAAGGGATTTTCTAATACATATATAAGAAACAAAACCCAAGGAGACATATTCAGTGGAAAATATACATAAATTATTCTGATAATACTATATAGGAAAATATCTCACAGCATAAAACTACTATGTAAACTCTTAATACCAAAAGGCAATTGAACATACGGCTTTCTCTTGTCATCATTTTTCAGGTGAGAAGGAATAGTTATGAAATGACAATCAAAATCAGAGTAGACTTCTCAAACCACAATACAAGAACTGAAACTCTACAAGAACCAGAAACTTTTCTTTCAATCTCCAAAAACCACAAAATTTTTTCTAAATTTATAAAACATGAGATGTAAAACTATGTAACATTATAAAATATTTTACTCCACACATAATAAAAGACATAACAATACCAGTACAAAAGTACAAAAGTCTCACTCTTGAGAAAGAAATTGCTTAAAAGACACTCTAGGATTCTTAGGTTCCCAGTGAGTCTGGTAGTCTGTTTCAAAAAACCATACTATTCATATTTTTACATATATGCACACTCTGTATATATACATTTATATATATATATACACACACATATATATATAAATGCAAGCAATCCTAAATGAAGTGATTTACCTGACAAGCTAATTTTTAATAAATTTTGAATTAAAAAACACAAAATAATCACCGACTGACTTTTAGTTCAGGAAAATAAAGCTTACTGGAGAACCAAGACATTTTTGTATCAGAACTCTTTAACAAACTAAAATTTTTAGTATTCAAAGACACAAAACGCAGTACTCCTTTGGCTAATACCCTTCAAAAGCCAAGGTACCCATACAGGTGTGGGTGATGACGTGCACTCTTCCAACAGAAAACAGCTGGATGTTTAAATGGACTTGGAACATCGGATACAGAACTTCAAGCCAAGCCTTGGAGCTTGAAGGTCACATGGGAGCGTCTGCTCTCGTCACTGATCCACTGCACTATGGTCGGTCTTCCAAATCACTTCTATATTTAGGAGAATGAAGACAAAACTCTAACCATTGTAGATCTTCATTAAATGCAGAGCAAATCAAGTTTGCAAGCAGGAGCTGCTTCCAAGCATTCTTTCCCAACTACTATCACAAAATGTTTAAACCTTTATGTCATGTTATCTTATAAACATGACAATTTATGGCAAGTCCATGTTCACTAGTTCCTCCGCTTGTACTAAATGGAGATGAAATAAAACCCACTGATAACCATCTTCAAGTTCCTGTTGACGTAAGATATTTTAATATCTCCTCCCATTTCCAGAGTGATCTCCAGAGTCTGAGAACAAATGTTTCCACTAATAAATACCTTTCCACTGCATATCTGTTATACCACCAGTATTCATCCATTTTTGCCTATCACAGAATCATTCATAAGCTCTTACTGCTGACCTAAAAGCGTTAAATTCTTTCTCATAAATTCCACATTAAACAGTACCTTTGAGCAGCCTGGTTATGGTGTTGGGAAATATTTACTAAAAACTAGGGGAAAAAATCTTGAATAATTGGTATCTATTCTTTTATTGAATCTATATTTAAATATATATAAACCACACACTACCTATTATGGTAAGATAATACACTATATTACATATTACACACTGTAGATTAGACACATGGTTATGTGCTCAGAGTTTACTCATGGTAACTCGCTTTAACAATTAAATCACAATGTCGAGCTGAAGAGTTTTTTTTTTTTTTAAATCCAAACTTACCCCATTCTAGGTATTCAAGAACGTTCTTCTCTCTTCTCAGCGGAGAATTACTGCATTCATCATAAAGGCAGATGAGTATGTCCAGTAAGGTCTCCACACTGAAGCACTGCCCATTGGTCCGAGCTGGCCCATCCAAAATAAACTGCTCCAACTGCCTCAAACGCACTTCTCCAGACATGTTGGCCGATTTCTGCTGGTTTTCCTTTAAATGACTATTAATGACTCCTACTATGATTCTTTGAACCTAAAGTTTAAAAAGTGTGGTTTTAAAAACAAACCACTTGTTATTCAAACAACTGTCATGCAATGCCGGTGCTGAATTAAACATCCAACACACCGGTACCCTCACTTAACTGAAGCGTCTTCGATTTCGCACATATACATATATTTTGAGGGATAGTTACCATAAAATATATATTTGATACATTTTTAAAGAATACAATTAAATCGTATGTTTAAATAAGATAATAATTAAAAGTACAACGAACCAAAGAGTCAACACTTCTTTAAGGGGGGCGGGGGGAACTCTTCTCCTTCATTCAAAATTCAGTTCGTGCAACATAATCCTGAAACGAATCCGGTTGCATCATTAATGAATTAAGTCCGATCTGCATCAGCAATTCACTTCCCAGGAAGAAGGAAAACAGAAAAGGCAGGAAAAAGCCAGAATGTATGTAAGGGGGAGGGAAAACCAAAAATTCGGCTGCAAATCCTCCCAACCACCGCTTGGATGATGCATCAGCGGCAATTTCTCCAGGGGGAAGGGAGGGGGCGAGTCCCTGAAGCAGCCCCCTCGGCCCAGTGCACGCCAAGTCTTGCCCGGAGGAGCCTTTTCCTTTTTCCTCCCGAGCTCCTGCTTTTTAAGGCTTTGCAGTTAGTCCCATTTCCAACGGCTTCGGAGGACAACTCTTCATTTCTCTCCCGGCTTCTCCCAGGGGCCTGGCTGGCGGAGCGGCCGGGGCTGGAAACGCGGGCTGCGGGCGGCACTGGGCGCCGGGCTCCGGGAGCAGCGGCTACTTGGCCGCCCGAGCCCGCCCCATGTCGGGTGGTCGCTGGTCGGCCGGCCTGGGCCGCACCGGGCACGGAGCCCGGTCTCCCCACACCCGCACCGCGGCCGCCCGCCGAGGCTCCCTACGCCCTGGAGCGGGGGTGCTTCCCGGGATTCAAAGGACACGGACGGCGGCAGCTGCGGCGGCGGTGCGGACGGCTCCGGCGGCGACTTCTCCCTCTAGTTCACACCCCCGGGTTAAGGGCATCTTTCCGCGGCGATCAGGGAAGCGGCCGAGGCGCTGGAGGAGGGTCTGCCGCCGCAGGCGAGGCGAGCAGAGGCTGCGGCAGCCCGGCTCGCAGCCACTCCCTTCCTCTCCCTCCCACCCCTCCCCCGCCTTCCCGGTCCTCTCGCGCCCGCGCCCTGGGCTCCGCGAGGCTCCCGAGTGCGCTGCGCGCTGGCGGAGGCTCGCGCAGAGCCCGGATCCAATATGGCGGCCCGCGCCCCCCGCCGGCGCGCGCACGCCGCCCCGCCCCGCCCCTGCCCGCAGCCCGGCCAGGCCGGTCTGTGGCCTCGCGGAGCGAGCCGAGGCCCAGGAAGGGGTGCGGGCGCTGGCGCTGCCCTGCAGGGAGGGTGGGGACCGCCTGGGCCGGCGAGGCTGGGGCTGCGGCAACAAGGAATGCAGGGATACGGGAGGACTGGGGAGGCCGCCGCGGCGAACAGGGAGCGGGCTGGGAACTGCGCCACCGCTGCGTGCGCCGCTCTCCCTGGTTCCCGAGGCGGCTCGTGCGGATCACAGAGCTGGGCTGCTGCCTCCCCCTCGGAGACGCCACCTGCACGCACGTCTGTGAAGGGGGCCCAGAGGCCGAGGGCTTTACACTCCGGACAGATCTGTAGAAGACTGTGCCTCTCGCCGCCCCTACCTGCTCCCCACCCACACCCCCAAATTCAGTTCCCAGGCACTCCAGAGTTATTTCCTGGGTGTCCAATTACACCGTTTCTTGTGTCATTTCGCAGGACAAATACGACAGACTTGTACGCGCTGCCATCCAAGTCGTAAGTGTGTGAATGCAAAGGGAATTTTGCATGTCCCCGTCTCTATTCCCAAAAGTTTCCGTACGTGGAGCACCGTGTTTTCTCCGGAACTATTCTAGCTGCTGCCTGTTTATCCCCAGCCAAGGTTACCACCGACAGGGGAATCAGTCAATGGGAGTCAGGACAGTTCAACAGAACGAGCAAACCTGCGTCCCCTGTTTGCGCTGGCATACACCCTCCCCCCAACCCAGCGGCACAGTGCAGAAACCGGGCAGCGAAGGCAAAAATCATCCAACCCTGATGCGTTTTAGGCCTCCCAGGTTTTTCCAATCTTGGTCTTAGAAGAGCTCTCTTACAAATTTCTTGTGGAAGGTCCCATATTTAAATATGTTACTAAACTAGGTCACTGCATTTCTATCTTTTCCTCAAAACTGTCACCTCCCTCACCATCTTTCTCCATAATACAATTATTTTCTAGTCTTTTCCAACACCAATCACGCAGTTTTCTATGTTGATGCCCACAAGTGCATCTGTTCACATCTTAACAATATGAAAGTTGAGGAAGAACTAGGAATGAAGGTCTAGAAACGAAGTCTAAAAATCAAGGCTAACAAATTATTCAAGTTGCTATGATTCACAAAATATTGTAATTTTTTTTTTTTTTTTTTGCAAAATCTCCACTCACCACGTGGACACACTCACCTGGCTTAAATAAGGACAGCATTATTTCCAACGTGCTCCTGACACATGATTGATACGGAGACTCAGACAAAAGATCAATCCTTTCTAGATGTGATGCCTTTATGTGTGTGTTGTCTAATTATAAAAGTAATAGAGAAGCAAAAAGAAAAATTGAATCCTAACATAGATAAACAGTAGTTCGGTGTTCCTTGTTCAAGGCTTTTTTATGCAATTTTAATTAAATGATACATAAGACAGTCTTATAGCCTCGTTTTCACTTAGCAATATATTATGAACATCTTCTCAACAAATATTCTTCTATAACATGGTTTTTAACAGTGAAGCCAAGACAATTTCACACTTTCATTTGACCACACAGCAGGGTAGCAGAAAAAGAAGCAATTCCTTCTGCTTTTATAGCACAGAACTGGCTCCAAGATACCTAGTTATCCAACTTGGAAGTAACTATAAGAAAGGACTTTAAAAAAGAAAACGTTAAATGTGTTAGGTCTCCATAAATGCTAATTAACAGTAAATGAGATACAGATCCATTTCTTAATAAAAGAATCAAGCTGCCAGTCCTTTCCCTACCTATTCTGTTAGCACTTGGTACCACCCACAGTCCAGCGTATTGATGTTTGTATAATAACCTTTACCACATTGTTTAGAGAGTAGAGGGGAGAACTTATCTTTATTTAAACACACACACACACAAAGAGAAGGAAGAAGGTTGAACCCAATCAATTTTGCTTGAATAATTCAAGCTCAGAGACTTAATAATTAACTAGACACTAAACACATTGTGCGGGTGTTATTTTAAATGTTCTGGTGGAAGTGTGAACATGCCTGTTAATGAAACCCGTCGTAAGCCAAAGAAAGGCTCAGCCCAATAGCTCCCCAGTGCTGCGTGGCAGGGTGTTCTTTGGGAAAGGAGCCTGGGGGAGGTCTTTTTTATGAAATTCTGCTTGGGGACCTGGGGACCTGGAGAGTAGATGTATACCACTGCAAACACAATTTGTTTGAAACAGAGAAAGTTTTATGAAGGTGCTAGGAATTATTCTGACCTTTCAGAAAAGAAAGAGAACACGAAGACAGGAAAGTGAAAAGAATCAGGCAAACAGAAGTCCTTAAAGCGAGTCCCCTTCGTTCAGTTCGCCTAATCCTACACTTCTGGCCTGAGAGCAGGAGAATCGATCCATCAACTAATCAACTGATATTTATACCAACCAGGCCCACTCTTACCTTCCTGCGTCTTACCCCAGAATAACTATAGGTTCAATGGTGGAAAACGGGGCCAAAAGCAAGGTCAATGCTGTGGCAGGGCTTCATGTGTAGTCACATTTCCCCACCTCCCCTTTCAGCCTGCAGCCACGCCCTGATGTTACCAGGGAATGACTTGGTTTGGTACCCTCGGAGGATAAAATGCCAGCAGATGCTTGTCCTCACTTCAAGTCTGGCTCCTGACATGAGTCATGCAAACTGCAAAGATTTACTTATGAAAAAGGGAGACTTTGCAATGAATAATTGCTTTCTTCACAGCACACTTGCAGTGTGTACATACTGTCCTCAGTACTTCGAACACAACATTCAATTCAATCACCACAAATGTATGAAGTAGCGCGGTTATCATCTCCACATCACAGACGAGGAGACAGACGGCTTAGAGAATTTGGGGGCGATAGCTAGCAAGTGACATCCTTAAGCTTCTCCCAAGCCAGGGCCAAAGGTTTTCACCACCACGCAAATGACGTCTGAAAGTCTATGAAATTCCATAAACCCACCCTGTCCTTCCTGTTGTAACCAGGAAGCGGTGAGATCTAGTTGCTAACTCACATATTTGGGCATTAGAAATGGACATCGGGGCAGAAGAGGAAAGCCCAGACATGAAAAACAGAAATCACTTGTGTGTTTAAACCAGAGGAACCTTAATTCTGGAAGACGGCTACACAGGTGATGGAAGAGCCGAAAACAACAAGCAGGAACAGCTGCTACCCCCAGCCCCTGGCCCAGGCTGGCGGGAGCTGGAGCTGCAGCCACAACGGAGGTGCCAGGGCTGCCAGGGAGGCTGCCCCAGGAGACAGAGGGAGGAGAAGCCCCTACCTTGACTCTGCCACCATTTGCTGCTAACACGGAGCTTATGAGAGAGGCTGCATGTGTTGCCCCCGAGATTCAGAGCTGAGAGGCAGGTGAGGGGTGGCTGTCAAGGCAAATAGTCCAAGGATTGTCATACATACATCAACCCAGTTCCAGTTATACCCAAGGAATAAAAAAATCATTACAACAAAGGTTTTATCTCTGAACAAACATTCAGTGGATTTTCAAGTGGTATGATTTTGACATAGGAGAGGTTTTCACTCCTTCCTCTTCATATTTATTTTGCTTTTTTTTTTTAACCCCTCAGAAAGGTTAAAGACACCATCCAAACAAACCCTCTGTGTCTAGGGCTCATTCACTTAGAGAAACAGACTGAGGTTCACAGACTCTTATTTGTCACTTGCTTATCACCGGATCTTGTCCTATCTTTAAACCTCTCGTTTAATCTCTCATTAAAGCTCTACGCAGACGAGCTCTAGTATATGTGGAATTTTCAAAAACATGTTCAGGGGCAAATATTAGAATAGAGATATTGTCCTCTCCTACAGCTAGTTAGTAAATTTGAACAATAAAAAAGAAAGGCGGCATTACCTTTATACACGCCAGCAGCATTGAAACATTTGACAAAAGACTCCATGGCCACGTGTGGTGGCAAAAACCGAGACAGTGAGGCCAACGGGTTTCCCTGGGTCCTGATACGGGGCTGGCGGTGTCATAGCCAGGACACAGGGGTCGGTCGCCGAGGAAGGGAGAAGTAAAGAATCCAGTTACCACACACTCTAGAAATCTCTCCGGCCAAGGTTACCAGTGACTCCCACACCGTCAAAGCCAACTGGCTCTCCTCAGTTCACATCTCATTTGGCCTTTCAGCAGTATTTGATAGCCCTGATCAAGCCTCTTCATTGAAACTTTTCTTCACCTGGCTTCTGCGCTCTTCCCAATTTCCTACTACCTCACCGGCCACGTCTTCTTAAGGCTTCTTGGCTAGGTCCTGTTTGTCTCCCAGATCTCCAAAAATTGGAGTAAACCAGGATTCAGCCTTTGCATCTTTTCTCTTTTTAGAGACACCCATTCCTTAGGTGATTTCAATTAGTCTTAATGATTCAGATGCTGGATGTGATGATTTGAAAATCAGGTCACAAATTCTTCAACACTCCTCTCATTGACAGGCTGAATTCCTTCCCCTGGAAGGGAGGCCAATCTTCCTGTCTCCCTGGTAACAGATAAAATGTAGCAAAAATGACAGTTTAACTTCCCAGGCTGGCCCATAAAAGGCCATGCAGCCTCTCCTTGTTCACTGGAAAACTGTCACTAGAACCCTGCCTGCCATGTAAGAAGTTCAACTGTTAAAAAAAAAAAAAGTTCAATGGTCTTAGCGCTGCCATGGCAGGAGGGAACTTGAGCCATACAAAGAAGCCACAATTAGACACTTCGGGCAGCTTCTCCGGGCAGCACCGACTGCCCGACGTGATGCCAGCCCCCCAAAGTCAGGTCGCCTTGACCAAGGCTCCAAAGTCTTCCCAGCTGAGGCCCCAGGCACGTGGAGCAG